TTCCTTCCTTCCTTCCTGTCCCTATCTCCCTCTTTCCTCCTTCCTCCTCCCTCCCTCTTTCCTCCTTCCTTCCTTCCTTCTTCTTTCCTCCCTCTTTCCTCCTTCCTTCCTTCTTTCCTCCTTCCTTCCTTCCTTCCTGTCCCTATCTCCCTCTTCCTTTCGACCTTCCTTTCTTCCTTCTTCTTTCCTCCTTCCTTCCTTCCTTCTTGTCCCTACCTCCCTCTTTCGTCCTCCCTTCCTTCCTTCCTTCCTTCCTGTCCCTACCTTCGGCTTGATGGATTTCCTCCTCCGACATCTTGACTCGGACTGATGTCTCAAAATCCTTACGTCCGTTTCTCTTCCTTTTTCTATTCCTTCTTTGTCGTCTTGTTCGTTATTATTATTATTATTTATTACTCTCTTCTTTGTCTTTCGTTATTACTGTCTTTTTTTCATTACTTTATGTTATTTATTTTTTATTAGTTTTTCTTTATTTTCTGTTTCGTCTTTCGTTCGTACTATCTATGTTTTATTACTTTATTTTTTTAGTTATTTTTTCTCTATTAATCATTACTTTCTTCATCGTCCATCGTTCCTACTATCAATTACTTATTATTCTATGTTATTTGTAATTTTTATATTATCTATTACTCTCTTCTTCGTTTTTCAGTCCTTCATATTCTTGGATTTGGAATCATTATTTATGGGATTATTGTTAAGTAGTGCATTTTTTTTCTTCAAATATATGTCAGATAAGTCAATAGATTAAACAAATGTATTTAAATAAGAAAGCGTCAAATGATACCTTTTAGATTTCATTTCATAACTTTTGTTTTATTTAAATGATTTTAATTTGTTTTATTATTTTGTTCTGTTTATTTCATCTCATTTTCTTCTATTCTGTTTATTTTGCCTTCTTCATTTTGTTTCATTTGATTTTATTTATTTTACTTTGTTTTATTTATTCTACTTTATCTTATTTATTCTACTTTCTACTATTAATTCTAGCTCCCTATATCAAGGTGACTTTTGTCCATCCTCCTCTTTTCTTTGTTTTGCCTCACTTCCTTTGCCTCCGCCAATCCACCTACACCTCAGCTGTTGGCGATTTATTCTTGTTAACAGAAGCCCCGCCTCTTCCTCGGTCCAGCTGGTGACCTGGGATTGACCTGTGAAGCACTAGGTCACTTTTCCTGCAGGACTTATGTGGATAAGGGAGGGTCTTCTCTTCAGACGGCGCCTCCCCTTCGACGCCTTGCACAGTTGGTCTGAATTCAGCACATTGAGATGCTGTTCTTGTCCGTCTCTTGTTTGTGTGAGGCGAGGTATTTTTTTTATGTAAATGAATATATGTAACTGAAAGGATCTTGATTTGATTTGATTATTTATTATTTTTTCTTGATGTGTGTGAATGCCGAGCTGCTGTATGTGTCACATTTTGTGTAAATAAATAAATATAACTGAAATTATTATTATCATTATTATCATAATTTTTTTTTTTTTTTTTTTTTTTTTACAATTTTTCATTATTATTAATATCATTAATGCATTTTCGCGTGAGAGGCTGTATTCGTCATTTTTATATAACTGGCCATCTATATATCATATTTCTTCTTTTCTTTTGTGTGTGTGAGTGGCGAGCTGCATTTGTCATTCTCTTGCCTCCCGAGCTACAGGTATTTCCCGAAACGCCTTGTTCAGGGCGCCTTCTTCTGTTTCCCTACAGCGTGCCTAATCTCCATCTCAGTCATCCTAGAGGCCTTCAGACATCTTCCTCCCTCGCGTCTACCCTTCGTCAGCCCAAGACTCACCCGGCTGCCGACTTTCTTTTAGAGTTTATTCTCCTGTGAGTGGCTGGCTCTTGGTGACAAAGCGTCCTGAATTGCTAATTTCTTTGCGAAGTCATTGTGAGATGGATAAGAGGAAAATATGATTATCATGCACTGTGTAGGCACCGACTCATATATGTGTATCTTATATGTATTTTATATGTATTCAACAAGAGTAAGGTGGATATAAGGAGAGTAAAAAATAATACATTGTACATATATCGAGTAGTTTGTACGTGTATATCATTATCTATATGTTTATCTATCTACTTCTCTATCTCGACTTTTTATCTATCTTATTTTATATACCATTATTTAAGTTTATTGTTTGTATTTGCCCCTTTATTTATTTCAATGACAGCTTTAACTATCAACCTCTCTACCTCTTTACATTAATACCCATTTATTTATTCCTTTAAAATTAGTAATACTGATATTTACAACTCTCTACGTATTCTCTACCTCTTTACATTTACGCCCATTTATTTATTCCATTTACCATTCTCTACACACTCTCTACCTCTTGACATTTAGCCATTCCATTTACAATTACTATTACTGATATTTATAATTCTCTACACACTCTCTATCTCTTCCCATCTACGCCCATTTATTCACCCCATTTACCATCATCTACGACTGGTCTTTCCCCCCCCCCCACACACACACACACCCACACCCACGCTACGTACCCGTCTATGAGCGGCACCTCCGACAGCAGGGCGTTGGCGGTGGCGAGGCGCTGCTGGATGTCGTCGTTGGGGTTCCCGGTGATGGCCAGGGGCACGGACACCCCCACGCCCGCCACCCCCGCCACCACGAGCACGAGGCACACTCCCCCCCACACGTGGCCGCCCACGTCCAGGCCTGGAGGCGCGGTGGGCGTGGGAGGGAGGGAGGGAGGGAGCGAGGGAGGGAGAGGGAGGGAGGAAAGAAAAGAAAAAGTTGGATTAGCGATTTGTATGATTTTTTATTTTATTATTTTTATTATTTTTTTGGATTCTTTCTGGTGTTGGTAATATTTGAATTAGATTTTAGTTTTTGATTTTGAATTCAAGTCTAGCTTTTCATTCTAGATTCTGTTTTCCTTTTAAGTCCACAGGAACTTCACTATTATCATTATTATTATTATTATTATTGTTATTATTATTATTATTATTATTATTATTATTATTATTATTACTACTACTACTACTACTCTTATCTGATTTTTTCTTCTTTTTATGTCTGCAAGCATTTCAATTTTTTTGAAAGGGTACTATCATCTAACTAATCTTATTATCATTATGATTATCAATCTTATTTTCTTTTTCCTTTCCCCATTTACTCACCAAACAACCCATCTGTATCCCTAACAATTTACTCGATCTTTATTTTTCAACCCCGAATTATGGACACGTAAATGTAAATAGGCCAATAACATCGTGTGAATGAATTTACAACATCATTTGCCGTCGAGATTATAAACATTAACACGATCTAGCATACGATTCTTGCGGCCAATGGCACCTGAACCGGTTACAACAGATGGCAAAAAATCGAGATCTCGTTAGTCACTTAATGAACAATTAATCTCCATTTGCACTTTAGGATTATGTTATAGAAGCTCTTTTTGTCGTAATATGTTGGCGTAATACGTACAGAGGTCATGGCTAACCCCCATGACCTCTGTTTCCATGGTAGGTCATGTTCTCTCATGGGAGTTTTACTTTGGGGGGAAACTGTGAATGGTAATAAGGGAAGGAGGTGAGAAAAGAGGAAGAGGAACGAAATGCGAAGAATGTTAAAAGGAGGAAGAGGGAGAGGAGGATGCTGAAAACAAGAAAGAGGAAAGAAAAGATGTAAAGGAAGAGGGAGAAGAAGGAGAAGGAATAGAGAGAGATGAAAACGGGAGGAAGGAATAGGATAAGGAAAAGAAAATGATGATGATGATGATGATGAGGAGGAGGAGGAAGATGAGAAGGAGGGGAAAGAGAAAATTAAGAATAAGCAAATGAGGATGGAGAAGAAGAAGAAAAAGAAGAAGAAGAGAAAAAATAAATGGAACAGAAAGAGATAAAGGAGATGAAAATACTTGAAATACTGGAAAAGGGGAGGATGAAGAAAAGAAAAGGAAAGGAGGAAGATGCAGAAGAAGAAAAGAAAGAGAAGGAAGAGGAAGAAGAAGAGATAGAGGAAGACGGAGAAGAAGAGAAAGAAGGAAAGAAGGAGAAGGAGGAAGACGAAGAGGAGAAGAAGAAGGAGAAGAAGACAGGGAGGAGAAGGAGGAAGAAGAAGAGGAGAAAACAAAAGAGGAAAAGGAGAAGAAGGAACGGACAAGGAAAAGGAAGAAGAAAAGAGAAGGAAGGATAGGAAGAAGAAGAGAAGGAGGAAAAGGAATAAGAATAAGAAGGACACGAAAAAAGTCCTCCTGCCTTAAGACATCATAACTTACGTCGTTTCGTAATAAATTTATATCATCTTCTCACAATATTATTGATAACCACTATTAATTTTGTTCCACATTATCCCGAGCACCATGAATACAATATTCACGGTAACTTATTGCTCACTAAAACACATCTCAACTTTTTGCAACGAAGTTTTGCAATATTTATGGTGATCATTACGATAATACTATCAATCAGTATAACAACACCACTGCTAATATAAGTAATACTCTTTATCATTGCAAATATATGTGATAATCTTTATCATTACACATATAAGCAATAATCTTTAAATAAATATAAATAATCTTTAAATAAATATAAATAATAAACTATAAATAATTTTATCATAACAAATATAAGTAATAATCTTTATCACCACAGCTATAAGCAATTTTTATGATTACATATATGTTATATTTTTTATCATTATAAACATAAATAATGGTCTTTATCATTACAAATATAGATAATAATATTTATCACTGCAAATATAAATAATAACCACCATTACAAATAAAAATAATAAACGTTATATTTCCTATTACTTAAATAATTTCGGACAAGATTCGGTCGCCTTCGAAAGACGCTGATTGGTCAAAGAACTCCCGCTAATAATTGGTTGCGACGCGAATGTCTTCTGTGAAATTAAAACCACTCGGCGTGTTGTTGGCGGAATGTCACTTCCTTCCTTCTGCTGTTGAGTTTTCGAGAAACGGCGAGGGGAAGAACACACGAACACACGCACACATTTATATCTTGT